TCAGCAGTGAGGTTTAAAGTGATGGCTTGCTGCTGTACACTAAACCTTGGAGGATTTGCCTTCAGAGAAATCAAGAAGATTTATGGCTTGCTATGTTGGAAAATTTGCCTTCTACGTGCCTGAGCAGCAAGGGCCAACTAAGTTGCTTTCCTGTCTTGCCTTGCACAGAGGTGTTTTCAACAAAAGTTTCAGAAGCCTAAAGAAGAAGAAAACAGTTTGTGTGTCAGACCCTGTGTTTGGATTCCAGAGAATTACTGCAAAGATATTGGACTGCTAGAAGCCAGTTTTACTTGAAGTAGTGAATATAAATTGGCTGAGCTTAAACCCGGGTGTACTGGGGGTCTTTTCTTTTGGTGCAGTGAGTATTTTTGTTTCTGGACTTTTTGGAACTTTAAAGTGAAATACCACAATGGCTTTGCCGCCTCTTCAAGTTGGTACACTCCCTTTTGATAAACTTTCTGAAAGTAACTGGCTCAGTTGGAGCGTCAGATTTAAAGCTTATCTTGTTTCCCAGAATTTATGGGACATAATTGAGAATTTGCCAGCTCAATTAACTCCTGCGGATCAACAAAAAGATGAAAGAGCTTTGGCACTTCTTCAATTGTCTGTGTCAGATTCTTTGTTGGTGCATCTTCATAATATTCTGCATGCGCAAACTGCGTGGAATTTGTTTAAAGATATGTTTCAGAGACAATCAAGCGGTTCGAAGATAATTCTTATGAGGCAGCTGTTTAACCTCAAACATGAGGAGGGCTCTCCAGTTCAAACTCATGTTACAAGAGTTGTGGCTCTTTTTTCGGAGTTGAGAGCAAGAGACATTATTTTTCCCCCTGAGCAACAAGCGTTAATCTTGATGGGATCTCTATCTCGCCCTTTTTATGCGTTCATGGACTCTCTTCATGGAATTCCTGACAGGGATCTCACGATACCTTTTATTTCAGGAAAAATTATGGAATTTGAGGCTCAACGCAAATTGAGGAGTTTTGCTCCTATACAGAAAAGTTCAAGTTCTGGGACTGCTTCTAATGACACTGTTTGTGTTGCTAAGCCAAAATCACAAATTGTGTGCTTTAAATGTAAAAAGAAAGGGCATTATGCTAAGAATTGCAAACAGAATCAAGGACAATGGAGAAACAAGCAAGTGGAAAGACCTAGTTCTTCAAAGGACTTACAGCATGCTTTCCTGGTGACCTCTAAGAAGGATATAATGAACTCTTTTATTATAGATTCAGGCTGTTCTCAGCATTTGGTAAAAACTAAAGAACTGTTGACAAATGTGAGAGACTCTGATATAAATTTTATTTCTTTAGCTGATGATAGAAAAGTTAAAGTATTTTCTTGTGGTGATCTTTATATTGACAGTCTGAAATGTACTCTTGAGAATGTGTACTATGTACCCAATATTATGTATAATATTCTCAGTGTTAACAAACTTCTAGATGAAGATTTTGAGATTTCTTTGAAGAAGGATAAGTCTAAGTTAATTGACTTTCAAGGTAATGAAGTATAGCTGAGACAAGAGAAGGGATTTTTTGTTTTAAAGTCTGCTAAAAATGTGTCAGCTTGCATTAAGCAGATACCTGATAATCCCAGGCCATTACACGACAAATGTATTCATGAATTTCACAGGAAAATGGGTCATTTGTCATGGCAGTATCTAAGACAAACAGCTGAGTTGTGTAAAATTCCTATTCAAGGATGTAAGAATTTTCTAGATTGTGAAATTTGTGCAGCAGAAAATCTTAAGAAAGCTCCTATAGCAAAATACAGTGCTAGAGTTTCAAAAAGGATCTTAGAGCTTATACATATTGATGTATCTGGTCCTCATCCTACTTCTGTAGGCGGGTCAAAATATTTTTTGATTTTGGTGGATGATTTTTCTAGGTTGAAATTCACCTTCTTTCTAAGAACTAAAGGTGAAGTTTTTCAGAAAATTTCTGCTTGGCTGAAGCTAATGCAAACACAGTTTCCTGAGTATCCAGTACAGGCTTTTCAAAGTGATCGTGGTGCAGAGTTTATGTCCAAACAAATGAAACATTTGCTTGAAAAGTTTGGCATAGTTCACAGGTTAACAAATCCTTACTCACCTAGTGAAAATGGGGTTGCAGAAAGGTGGATAGGTGTTCTAAAAATTGTAGCTAGAAAAATGTTAAGAGATGCTAATTTATCTGATGGATTGTGGGCTGAAGCTGTGGCAAATGCTACTTTTGTGCTCAATCGTTCTTTTTGCAAAAGTGTCAATAGTATTCCTTATTTATTGTTTTTTGGGAAAACTCCTGATTTGAGTTCAATCAGAGTTTTTGGAAGTGACTCATATGTCTTAATTCCTTCTCAACAAAGACATAAGAAGGATTCTATTTGGAAGAAATTGAAATATCTAGGCCCTGCTTCTGAGTCAAAAGGTTGGAGATTTTGGTGTGGTAATAATAGGGTGTTAGTTTCTAAAAGTGTAAAGTTTCAACAACACAGTGGTTGGGATAGGATTCATTCAAATAAGGAAGTGTTTCTGCCTTTTAACACTACTCAAATGCATACACCACTAACCACACAGCCAACTACACAACAAGTTTCACAGCAACCTGCTACACAAGTGCAATCAGTTTCACAACAGTCTGCACAGCAAGATATACAACCAAGCACATCTCATAATACACATTTTGGTTCACAAGTGCAAGTGAAGCAAGAATCTGTTTCTAGTCAGTTACAAAGCAGTAGTCCTGTAATTAAAAGGACAGAATCTCAGAAGAGAAAAGCTGAAGCTGAATCCTCTAGTTCACAAAGTACTAGCTCTAGTAATTCAGAGACTGATGAGACTGATGGAGGAGATAGTACTAGGACCATTCCTAGACGTAGTTCTAGGATAACTAAGGGTATACCTCCAAAGAGATATCATTGTGAAGTTGTGAAAGTACCAGACCATGACTGGTCTGAACCTCAAAGTTATAAAGAGATGTTGAATAGAGAAGAGACTGAAAGAAAGCTTTGGTTAAAAGCAATGCAAAGTGAATTTGATTCTTTGAAAGATTTGCAAGTTATGGAGAAATCTAAAACAGTTGATAATGCAAAAGTTCTAAGTTGTCGTTGGGTGTATAGACGTAAACAAACAAAGGATGGTGGTTATTTGTACAAAGCCAGATTAGTTGCTAGAGGTTTTGAACAGATATATGGAGAAAATTTTAATGAGATATTTAGCCCCACAGTATCTGGTGAAGCACTAAAAATAACCCTTGCAATTGCCAGTAATAGAAATTTAAAAGTCAAACATTTTGATGTGAATACTGCATACCTTCATGCAGATTTAGAGGAAAAAGTTTATATTTCTGCTATTCCAGGTTTTGAATCTGATCTTCCTGATGGGACTTATCTTCTTAAAAAAAGTCTTTATGGTCTCAAACAAAGTGCAAGAAATTGGAACTTACATTTAGACAAAGTGTTGACAAAGTTAAATTTTGTTGCAAATAGTTTTGATCCTTGTTTGTACTCAAAAGGAAGTGGAGATACACAAATGTTTATTATAATTTATGTGGATGATGTGTTATGTATTGGATCTGAAGAACAAATTGAGGAAGTTTTTCAGAATTTAAGCAAAGTATTGAAAATCAAAAATCTTGGAGATGTTAATAGATATCTTGGCATAAATATTGCTAGAAATGAAACTGGTTTTGAATTAAACCAAACTGATAAGATTTATGATCTTTTGAAAAGAACCAGAATGGAAAATGCAAACACTGTTAATACTCCTATGGCTCTTCAGTTCTTACAACATGTAGATGGAGAAGTGTTTGATAACAATTTTATTTATCGTTCAGTTCTTGGTTCTTTATTGTATATTGCAAACAATACTAGGCCCGACATTTCGTTTTCTGTTGGTATCCTAAGTCAAAGGATTCAAAATCCTTCACAAACAGACTGGGCCGGAGTAAAAAGAGTTTTAAGATATTTAAAGCAAACAGCTGAAAAAATATTCAGAATTTGCCCAAATGACAAACAGTCTTTGGAAATCCATTGCGATAGTTCATTCGCTAATTTAAAAGGAAATAAATCTGTCACAGGATTTATAATAAAATATGCCAATACACCAGTTTGCTGGAAAAGTAGAAAACAAAACTTAGTTGCTTTAAGCACAGGAGAAGCTGAGTTTTCAGCATTATCTGATGCCTTGACATCAGTAGAGTGGATTGAATCTCTAATTAAAAATATGAACATTGATTTGGAATTACCAATACAGGTGTATGTAGATTCTCAAACTTGCATCGCATTGTGTAAGAGTCAAAATTTAAAAACGAAATCTAGATATATCAATGTTAGATATTCTAACGTGCAACAATTTGTAAAGAACAAAAGAATTGTTCTTAACTATGTGTCTTCTGTTGAAAATGTTGCAGATATTTTGACGAAGCCTCTTACATGTGATAAACATAACCAATTTTGTGAAAGACTGAATTTATGATTATATAAATATGAACTGATATAATTTTGTGGAGGAGTGTCAGGAGAACTGTAAAAATGTGCAAAATTTTATCTGTTCATTGTATGTATTTGGGTTATGTATGTATAAGTAAGTTTGTATCTTTAATTGCTGAAATGCTTGTGATGTGGTTTTGGTTAATTGGGTGCAGGTGGATCTAATTACTGTGGTTATAATGTGTTGCATCTGCCTGCAGCCAGCAGCAGCCTTCAGCAGCTTTCAGCGTCCCTCAGCGTTCTGCTATTGCTATAGCCTTGAGCTTTTGGAGAAGCTATGGCGTTTTGGAGTTTGGGACTCTAAATGTTTTGTTTAGGGTCTGATATCTGATGCAAGATGTTTGTTTTCTTACTTTTGATGTTTTCCACTATGAATTTATAATAAAGAAAGACTCTGCTAACAGTCTAATTAAATTTTAAGGATTTGTATTGCTTAATCGTAGAGTTTTTGACACTTCAGATCTTTGGGTGGTTTTACTCTTTGGATGGTTCATCTCTGTAAACAAAATTTTCTTACTTCACTTATCTTTCTTTCTTTCTTAATGCTATCATAGGAACTAAAAAAGTAAGTACCTGCTCTTAGTAATCTTTTTCGAGTTTGTAAGAAAAATTTGAGTCCTAAGATGAGTATTAGGTCTTGTTTTCAAAGTAATTCATAGCTGTGTTAACTTGCACAGTTGGCCCTCCGTATCCATAAGTTCTGATTCACGGATTCAACCAACTACGGCTCAAAATATATTCAGGAGGCAAAATGCGAACATCTTGTTCGAGATGTGAGCTATTTTATGTAAGGACTTGAACATTCAGAAATTTAGGTATCCATGTGGTGTCCTGGAACCCAACTTTAGTGAATACGGAGGGCCCATTGTATGTATTAATCTTGCAATTATGCCAGATATATTGATGCTGAAGATGTTGGTATTTTTTCCTTTCTTGTATGCCCCTTCCCAAGGGCTTGCAGCAGATTAAAAAAATAGTCTACAAAACAATCCTATGCTATCCTCCGAAGGTGTTCATCATAACTTAGGCAGTCCTCTAGTCCACGCTTACCTAGTAGTTACTGAATAGCCTGTCTCTAGACCAACTTCTGTAGAGTCTGGGAGACACTGTGACTGGTATCATCAAAGGAGTAGGTAGGATTCAAACCTTAGGTGCCACTGAGCAGATGATGATTCAAACCTTAAAAACATAGCTATTTAAGCAACTTCTTGAGATTAAAAACACTTGGAGTAGTGTAGGTGCATTCTGAAAGATATGTTGGATATTTCACCTGGTATAAAATGCTGTCATTATTTAATACTACCCTTAGTTGATTATCTTACACTGTACATTATCCTTTCAAAAAGTGCCTTGCCAGATACAGTAATACTAGTTGGCTTAAACTAAGGGCCCTTCCACACAGTCCTATAACCCAGAATATCAAAGCAGAAAATCCCACAATATCTGTTTTGAACTTATTCCACACTACCATATATTCGAGTTCAAAGCAGATAATGTGGGATTTTATTCAGCTATAAGGAAGGGGCCTTATTCAAGCACTTAGTACTTTTTTGTACTGTGTTAATAATATATTGTATGTATATATACCTTGTAAGCCGCTCTGAGTCCCCTTCGGGGTGAGAAGGGCGGCATATAAATGTCGTAAATAAATATAAATAAATTAGTCCAGTTTGTCCCATCACAAAAAAACATAAAGCATAAAAGCATCAATGTAGACTTCATTCTTACGGTGCCAAGCTTTTTCTTCCATAGTTTGCAATAAAGATAATAATAATAATAATAGCTTTATTTATACCCCGCTACCATCTCCTCAAGGGACTCGGTGCGGCTTACATGAGGCCAAGCCCACAGTACATCACTAGACAAAAGCAATAACAAAACAATCAATACAATACAATTAATATAAATCACATAACAATAAACCATAACAGTGTTACACACAGCATTTAGAAACCTACGGCCGGGCCAAATGTAGTAGTTTAAAATTTAAAAAATAACGCTGGGCATGAACAAGGTTTTCAAAGCGAGATGACGGGACACAGTCAGTATTAAATAAGTGGTAAAGTGCATTTTGAGGGCATATTGCTGAGAATTTGCCTTATTCTGGGAAGGCACACTGAAACAACCACGTTTTCAGGCTCCTCCTAAAGACTGCCAGAGTTGGGGCATGCCTGATGTCCTTGGGGAGAGAGTTCCAGATATATGAAGCAGTAGGTAATGCAAAAATTAATGGATAAAATTCAGTGCATTGTTGAGAAAATATTATTGCAAACCCCATTTTCTAATTTCAAAATGCTTTGCTGTAATGATCTGTCTTTCTAACATGGCCAGAACTGGATCGAATGATAGAAGGATGTAACTCATTCCCAGATGCAGTTAATTTGATGTGTTTGGAAGTGGTCGAACCCTTAACGTTGGTTAGCATCCTGCCTGTCTCCACTCTCTACTTGCTCTGCCAGAGATGTGGTTTAAATCCTTAATAATTTAAATTATGTGGTCATACTTTTAATTGTAAGCTGCTTTGAGTCTCCTTCGGGAGAGGTAAAGCAGGGTATCAATAATAATAATAATAATAATAATAATAATAATAATAATAATTCTGCCTTGGTGTCCAAAATTCCCCAGTATCATTCTGTTTCCTAAACTTGGTTATTGTTCCTCATGCAAGTTTTTAATGCTTTGGACAGACTGTACTCCCTTTTAAACAATGCATTATTTGAAATATTTTCAAACTAGGAAATTGATGAGATAGTATACATGACAAGTGATTAGCATGTCATGCTGAGATTGTGAAAATTGCTTGCAGCTGCACTCACTCCATGCACAAGGGAATGAGAATAAAATAATCTGTAGTATTTATTTATTTATAGTATTTATATTCCAGCCTTCTCATCCTGAAGGGGACTCAGGTTGGATCACAATGCACACATACACGGCAAACATTCAATGCCGTTTGTAGACATATAGACAGGTAATTCAGCATTTTTCCTCCAACTTCGGCTCCTGGAGGTTGCTCAATTCCGGCCACAAGGACAAGCTGTCGCTTCATCCACTATGACACCGAGCCTTTGATCGTAGTATTTCCTCCTTGCTCTTTGATCTCCGGCTTTTTTATGGTGTCATTAATTAATCTCCCCGCTTTAAGCGGTCCCTAATTTCTCTACTCACAGCTCAGCTGTTTTTGAACTGCTTAGGTGAGCAGTAAGCTGGGCTATTAACAGTTGGGGACTCAAACTCTACTCGGACTTCGAACTCGCCACCTTCTGGTCGGCAGTGATTTATTTCTGCTAGTGATTAACCAGCTGTGCTACAGCCCGGCCCCAGTAGAACCAAGAAAGAATTCCTTTGTGTCATTCACATTCCTCCCGGTAGGCGACATTGTGATGTCATTTCTATTTGCTTGTGACAGTTCTTTGTAGAATTCACCCAAGGGCATCTCACAGGATCAAACTCATACAACTCCCAAGACTTCCAACATCTTAACTATGAATTCAGAATATGTAGGTTTTCAATGGGAGTAACACTGAGATTCAAGTAATTTCTTCCCAAATATTTGAAAAAGTTACCAATAGTAAGTAAGGAAAAATTAATAAAATGCTTGTAAAAAATGTAAAATTTCCCTTAAAAACCTGGTTTGGAGGGTACATAGTTTCAATTATTATTAGAATTTAATTTTAATGGTTATTACATATTTATTGTCTTCTACTCTGATAACTACTAGAACTTAATAGTGTAATCAATAACGGTTTAAACGCTGAATTGAAGAAGGTATGTCTTATTATTAACATGTAAGTAGAAGCTTATTTCTCCTTAAAAGTTCATTTGGACTTTGAAGGAGACAAGACTTAATTACACCAACCAGCCATTCACTCGTATTTAAATTTAAGATCAGTTTTCTACCTTTGGAGGTGGTTTTGTACAGTTGCTAATAATTAATATTTATTTGCAATACACTCTCTCAGAAGAATTATAAGACCCTTAAATTCTGAATTTATTATGTGATAACTACCGTATATACTCGAGTATAAGCCGACCCAAATATAAGCCGAGGCACCTAATTTTACCACAAAAATCTGGGAAAATGTATTGACTAGAGTATAAGCCGAGGATGGGAAATGCAGCAGCTACTGGTAAATTTCAAAATAAAAATAGATACCAATAAAATTATATTAATTTAGGCATCAGTAGGTTAAATGTTTTTGAATATTTACATAAAAATAATTCAAGATAAGACTGTCCAACTCTGATTAAACCATTATTCTAACCATCTTCAATGTCAATATGCTTAGATGTCTTCCAATAATAATAGAGTAAAATAATAATAGAGTAAAATAATAAATGTAATAATAACGATATAGTAAAATAATAAATGTAACAATAAATAATAGAGTAAAATAATAAATGTAATAATAACAACAATAATAATAAAATAATAAATGTAATAATAATAAAAATAACAACAACAAAATAAAATAATAAATAATATTGGCTCGAGTATAAGCCAGGGGAGACTTTTTCAGCCTAAAAAAGGACTGAAAAACTAGGCTCATACTCAAGTATATACAGTAAGTATCTTGACCAATTTAATTCTGATTCCGGTTGGATATTTGACAATACCTGCTAAACTGAAAACCACAAGAACCGATGAGGCATAATGTATTGTCGAAGGCTTTCATGGTTCATTTTCATTTTGTTCATTCCATGAAAATGAATAAAATCTGGCTACCAGTATTAAAAAACTCAAAAATTACAACAGCCAAAGCAATAAAAAGTAAACAATCAGGCACATCTAATCACCTCTCAACAAAAGATTGCCCCAGGCATTGCCAGGCCATCAAATGCTAACCAAGGTAGTCAGTTGAAACATTCACACCTAGCTCCAACAGACAAGAGTCCTTTGTCCCACCCCGGTCATTCCAGAGATATATAAACCCATTTTCCTACTTCTAACAGACCTCACTACCTCTGAGGATGCTTGCCATAGATACAGGCGAAACGTCAGGAGAACATGCATCTAGAACATGGCCATATAGCCCAAAAAAACCTACAACAACCCACTTATGAGGCATAATTTGAGCCTTTGGATAAAAGGTCTGTTAAATAACATTACAGAAGACAAGATGATTCTGTTTAGGGTTTGGCCAGTATCTATTGATACATTAGGCAATGAGTGAGTTAAAATTTAAATTGGCAGGGTTAGCATTAGCTTCTCTCCCTAAGTCTGGCTTGAAATAAGATATATTGCTTGGCAGACGATCTGATGGCATTCCACTACAGGGATTTCCTATAGTCAGAGGCTTATATCCAGCTGTTCATTCTAATTAAAGTGGACCCATTCAATTAAGGTTTACTTTGTAAACCAGCATTTGCATAATTTCAGTATTTTGTCTTAGGGTGCATCCACACTGTAGAATTAATGAGTGTGACACTATTTTAACTGCCATGGCTCAAATGCAATTTGGAAGAGAAGGCCAAAAACCTTGCAAAACTGTACCCATGATTCAGTAGCATTAAGCTGTTGTTATAAAGTGGTGTCAAACAGCATTAATTCTGCAGTGCAGATGCACCTTCAGTGGGTTTTGTCTAATTGGGGTCAACTTGGATTATGAAAGGGAGGCAAGCTACAATTCAGAATTTTAAAAATAACTTTACTGTAGTCTGCATCCCAAAATATACTTGCTAAATTATTCTATGGCAGTGGTTCTCAACCTGTGGGTCCCCAGGTGTTTTGGCCTACACCTCCCAGAAAGTCCACCAGTTACGATTTCTGGGAGTTGAAGGTCAAAACATCTGGGGACCCACTGGTTGAGAACCACTGTTCTATGGTGATTAGATTTTTCCTTATTATGCAATTGCAGCAAAGCAGTTGTAATGTACTAGGCAGTGGAAAATAACCATTTCTTTGCTGTAGTTTGCAAAACAGCATAACCAAACCAGTGCAAAACACAAACTTTTAGGTTCTTTGCATCTCGCTAATTTTAATAGGGCTGTGAATAGAAGTAATTGAGGGAACCTGGGGGTCTTGAAGTGCCTAATACCAACTTCATGTTATTCGTGTGTCTTAATTATTTCTGCATCTGTATTGTGCTTGTCTCTTAATGCTGCCTCCTGTTTGAAAGATGAGGACACGAAAGCTGCTTTATGCGACAGAGAAATTTTGGGTGGACAAGCATTTGTACGACGAGGCGGAGAGGCTCCACTATGAACGGGAAGCAACTTTAGCAGCCGCTGCTGCAGGAACGCACCAAGAGGTGGTGGCTGTGAATGGGTTTTGCCATGAAGAGACCGGTGAGGACGAACTGAAAGAAGAGCCGCCAAGGGCAGGAAATAGGAGGAAGCAGAAGAAAAGGAAGTTCTCCCCCAAAGCCAAGCCTTCAGAGGCAAAAGTAGATTTTGTCCTAACTGGGTTGCTAGCTGACCGTGTGTGGTTCGAGAAACCTCTGTACGACCAGGCAGAAGCTACCTTTGGGAAGAAGCTGGCTGAAGCTTTTCCACAAGAACCTCCTGAGAAGCCACTTGCTGAACAGTCTGCTTTGGTCCCCTGGTCAGAAGCAGAGTTCATCCAAGGCATTGATGAGCCACAGAAAACCTTGGCTATCCTACGTTGCAATCATGGCAGTCTGATGGCCTGCCACCACATTATTCAGGACATTTGGGTCAATAAGTTCAACTTTGACGAAGCTGAGGAGAAGTTTGTCAAAGGATGCCAGACACTGGCTCTGCCACGCTTCCTAGAGCTTCCGTCTGTGCCTTCGCACACTATCATCGGACAGAAAACACCCGATGAAGGCTACGCAACCGGCCTACCTACGCCTTCAACGCCAGCCCAGTCCATGGATGTTGTGGCTCAACCTAACGCTGCCTTTGCTGCTCCAAGTTTCTCTGACGCTACAAACCAGACAGTGAATGGGAAACCACAGGTGTCAAGCTTGCAAGCCTTGGTCTCCGAAGTGTGGCTGGAGAAGCCGATCTACGATGATGCAGAGAGATGCTTCTATGCAAACATGTTTGATGGGCACCCTCCAGGAAAGGTGAGAGTGCAGGAGCGAGAGGGCCCAGAGTCTTCGAAGAAATCCCGTAAAGACAAAAGGAGCCGTAACGTAGGGAAGCAGACAGGAAACAAAAGGGGGAGCACAGCCACCTCTTCTATTACACCTCAAAATCCTCCCCTCTCCTCAGCTACCTGGTACTTCATGCACAAGGACAGTGAGTCTCCGTGGTTCAGCAAACCCACATACGATAATGCAGAAGCGCAGTACTATGCCTCCAAAGCTTCAGAGCTGGCAAGTGAGCAAGCGAGCACCAGAATATCCGGAACGATGCTAGGAGAGTCGTCGCAACATACTACCAAGGCTTCGAGTGAACCAGAGTCTAATATTAAGTAGGAAAAGTTTGTTCTGGGGTAAATTCTCAAACCTAATGGGCCAGAAAGAGGTGGACAAGTTTCTTTGTATGTGTGTGTGTTTCCATTTTAGAAGCTAGCCAGCAAGTTAGAATATAAGCCCATGTTTTTGTATTCTTTGCCAGGATGAGAATGGAGAGAACCTTTTATTAATTGAGCTTTCTTGGTTGCCGTTATGTCCTTAGTACCACTTCAGGTGAAAGATCCCATTGTTTGTGAAGGACATGTTTTATTGCACAAACTATAGGAAAACATGTTAAACAGTGTACAGTGTTATCTTTACATTTGTTTGCTTGTTTAAGAGGTTTAGCACATTTCTATTTAGGCAGTATTCTGCCATTTAATGTGTCCCTAGTCATCACAAACAGTTCTTAGTTGTTTCTAGAAAAAGTATATTCAGAAGTGGTTCTTAAGTAAAGGATATTGTGTTTCTATGGTGGTTTTTTGAGTGGAAGATATGTTTTGGATAAATTGTAAGGATCTGAGTTATATGTGAATGAACGAAACCCATTCAGCTCTTTCTTAAATTTACTTGTTTTCTTTTTACTCTATGCTGCTGTTTTCCTAGTTTAGATTTTTCAGCAGCATATTTCAAGTCTTGGTGCTCCATGTCAGGTTCTCCTTTTGTCCTCTTCAGTTCTTTTATGTGGTGAACCCTTTCATCCTCTTGATTGAAAGCAACCAGGTAGTCATCTGCTGCATTCTGTATCTCCCATTTCCAAGCTTGTGAAAGATTATCATACACCAGGTTATAGGTGTCTTTACTTCCTTTCTTAGACCCAGAGGTTTGCTCCACAAGGATCTTGTGGTTTTCATTTGCTTGCTTTATCACCAACCATCACATACCAGAATGAAGATCAGGGATTGGGTGGGGCAAGGGCTGTCATGCTTTTCTTTTGCTGTTCACCCTGAAATTCACTCTGCATCTTGGTTTTGCATTACACTAAGCAAGGGGATACTGTTTTTCTTGGCAGAGTAATTTTGGAATGCTTCCATAACCTTTGTTGTATACTTAGCCATGCAACATCACTTGTGACATGCTGTCCCTAGACTTGGTATCAGTACTCTCTTCGGAAATTGGTGGGTTTGTGTGTGTTTCATTTTTAGGAAGGAGTAGGAAGTGTCAGAGAAGCCATGTCTCTTTGTGGCAAATCCTTGTAACTTAACGGTTGCGTTATGGAGTGTGTAACTTGTCAGATAGCCAGTGTTTGTCTGAGATTGGTTTAAAGTAATTGAAAAGGGCACTTGCTTATTTTACTCTGTGATGGAAAAAGAGAGCCCCAGAGCTAAGTGAAGGAGCAGCATGTTACTAATCCCATTTACACACGCCTTCCCCCCTGGGGTGATGTAAGAGGACCAACCAGCTGTTACCGGAAGTGGCCCAAAAGGGAGGAGGGAGGGAGACCTTGTTTGTCTGACCTTGCTCTAGTTACTATGCTTAATGATTCCTCTGTATTTATTTAGCCCTTCTCTCTTTGCAGAAAAATGGCTGCCAACTTCCTCATGCACGAGAAGATCTGGTTCGATAAGTTCAAATACGATGATGCTGAGAAGAAATACTATGAACAGATGAACGGTCCAGCTTGCAACTCTTCTGGCCAGCAGGTAAGATGCTAGCCTCCTATGGTTTCAGCAACAGGTTCTTTTGCAAGCCACAGTGCTTCTAACCTAAATGGCAGGGCAGTGAAGGTTCTCCCTGCATGCTTGTCCAGACTAAATCTCATCCCATCCATTGCTGAATATAGGAGGAATCATACTAAATCAGACCAATGATCTATTTAGTCTCAGTTTCCAGATTTAAAAACTATATGGCTCTGGGAGGTCCAGGAACAGAACCAGAGAACAAGAGGTGCACACTTCCTATACTGCTTGCCATTTAGTTGCTAGTACCCACTGGCATATAGCATCAGAAACTGGCTGGTGGCCCTAGGAAATGCAAAATAGTGCCCTAACTATCCCATATAGGTTTTCAGAATTAGTGCAAGTATACTTTTCCGGGGTACTTTTAGGATTATGGGGCATTCGATGAGATCTCAAACATTCAGTTCTCTTAAATTGTGTCCCAAGACACCAGAGCATTGAAGGTGTAGAGGCCTTCCATCTGCAATATGTTTGAGCAGAGAGGAGCTTCTCGGTCTTTCTAGAAGTGAACTGGTCAATGTAATAAAATGGGAACATTCCTCTCTGTGCTCTTACAACTTTAATGATAGCACTAAAGGAAAGGCGGGTAAGGAAAGACTGAGGTAAACATATCCTTTCATTCTTCATGATCTACACTGTCAAAGGCTTTGTCAGTTGTCCTGAGACATAACCACAACATGGAGGAAAAGAATGGACCCATCTCCCCTTTTTATCACTCTCCAATGTATTATGACAGTTTTATATAGCTTCCTCATGTGATCTATCCAAATCACATCTTCTGGGGAGTTGTAACGTTTCCTAACAAGGTGTAGTTTCCCACTTTAAGGAAAAATCATCCTAAGGTATTTTCAGCTTATTGCCTTTCTAAACCTGTTTATATTTGGAGTTGTGTGTTTTTTAGGTTTATTCTTGAAAACCTAATTATTTGTTTGTTTGTATCCTGTCCTTTTTATGAAAATTGGGACTCGAGGAGGCTTACAATTTGAAAAGAATTGTAGGAGTGCAGACCAGAGTGTAATGAAGCATAATAAACTCGTCTTGTATAGTTGCATTCAGAAGTCATGGCTAAACTTTCTAAGAAATAGGTCACTGCAGATACTTGAACCTGTATTCGTTCCTCTAGGTCAGGGGTCCTCAAACCTTTTAAACAGAGGGCCAGGTCACAGTCCCTCAAACTGTTGGAGGGCCGGATTATAATTCGAAGAAAAAAACATGAATTCCTATGCACACTGCACATATCTTATTTGTAGTGCATACACACACACACACATTCAATACAATACAATATTTAAAATGAACAACACTTTTAACAAATATGAAATTAGTATTTCAGTGGGAAGTGTGGGCCTGCTTTTGGGTGATGAGATAGGATTGTTGTTGCTGTTGTGTGCTTTCCAATCTTTTCAGACTTAGGTTGACCCTGAGCAAGGGTAAATTACCCTGGAGGTCCGCATCCGGCCCCCAGGCCTTAGTTTGAAGACCCCTGCTCTATGTAAATGATAGATATCAGAAAAATTATTGTGAACCCACTTATTGAAGGTGACCTAAAAGGAGGGAAGAAGTGGAAAAAATGTAAACATATATGATGTTTAATAACTTTGCTGTTTATGAACAAATGCACTGGGTAAGGGATCATTTGCCAGATGCTAGCACACTATTCTTTCTTTTTTCAGCAAGAAGCTTGTTTCAAAAGCTGTATTTTCATTTGCTTCCATCAAAGCTCAGAAAAGGCGGGGGAGAGGGCTCCTTATATAGTCTCCAAATTAGCCCATGTTGAAACTAAAGATCCAGCAAAACCCAGGCTTAAAAGCAACAGTTTGGTTTTGAAACCGTTGAGTGGCTTCCTGCATGGAGCATGCCCTTGTGTCACTAGAATGTCTGACCATGATGCCTTTCCCAGGTTAGAAAGTGTGTAAATAGTGACTAAAACCTCTAAGCGTAGAATGTAAAAATGCAAAAAGGCTTCTAATTTAAATGTGAGGCTGCAGAGCTTTCTATGTAATCCCTGAACATAGTAGTGGCTATGTTGAGTTCTTCCTATTCCACTTAAAAATTTTGTGAAAAGAAGTTTCCTCCCAGAAGCAATGGAATCTTTTAGAGCAGTGGTTCTCAACCTGTGGGTCCCCAGATGTTTTGGCCCACAACTCCCAGAAATCCCAGCTTTACCAGCTGTTAGGATTTCTGAGAGTTGAAGGCCAAAACATCTGGGGACCCACAGGTTGAGAACCACTGTTTTAGAGAGATGAAGCATTCCATTTTACTTCTAGTAACGAAGAAGAACTCGGGTATCTTCCAGTCACAGACTGGCTCATGCTTCTTCTGAAAAATGCTTCTTTAATAAAGTAAAAGAAAATAAATTGTTCAATGTATTGTCAAAGGCTTTCATGGCCGGAATCACTGGGTTGTTGTAGTTTTTTTCGGGCTATATGGCCATGTTCTAGAGGCATTCTCTCCTGACATTTTGCCTGCATCTATGGCAAGTATCCTCACTACCTCTGAGGATGCTTGCCATAGATGCAGGCAAAATGTCAGGAGAGAATGCCTCTATAACATGGCCATATAGTCCGAAAAAACCTACAACAACCCACATTCAACAATCATGCTAATTGGCCTCCATCCTGGAATCAAAATTGGCCTATTTAAAAAGATGTTGGTGCAAGCCAGTATTGATTAAACTGGTGCTTTCCAGTACAGACATTTTAAATAAAGGATTCTTGTTTTATCAACTGTGTACCATGAGAAACTATACCTTCATGATCCACCAATCAGCGCTCCTTTTGGATGTCAATATGCCACATACCATTGCTCTTTCCTTCCTTCCTGGCATAACCTTGGCAATATCCACCTAAGCACAGGGATTCCTTAATTCAGTTTTCACTGTCGGTGTGTAGGAGATACCTGAATTTTTTGTGATTGTACAGAAATCTCTGTCCTTTAGTCTTCATTAGCTGGATAAACAGGAGGGTAGGATTTGTGCAAACAATATTAATAGAGCTATCCTTCAACTATTCTTCTTCAGAGAGGTGATTGAGAAACCGTTTGCACTTGGTATGTGAGAGAGAAGTAGAGTGTAATACCAGAGAGGTGAATGGACTGTATCATGATAAAACTGGTCAAGTTCCTAGCGGTTCCCAAACTTTTTCAGTCATGGAACACTCTGGAAACCTAACCCTGTCCCTGATTTTCCTGTGGATCCCTAACTTTGTGTCTAAGCATTGTGGATCCACGGATTCTTTCTCCTTTCATGTACTTCTCTTGCTTGAATGTTTTGTATAATGTAAGAGATTTAGAAATAAAGAGATTCAAGTTCTGTTTTGAAGCAAAGGTACACTAAATGTTGTACTCTAACACAACACTTCCCAACAAAGGATTCCCCCAGGCAGGAAGCAGCCAGCTTTGAAGCTGCAGGGCTATTCAATGCTAATTAAGGTGGCCACATTCACACTTGCCTCAAACAGATAAGAGTTCTTTCTCCCACCCTGGACATTTCACAGATAGATAAACCCCAGAGATAGAAACCCCACTTGCCTTGTTTCTTACAAAACTCAAAACATCTAGGGATGCCTGCCTTAGATGTGGGTGAAACATCAGGAGAGAATGCTTCTGGAACATGACCAGATAGCATGGAAAATTCACAGCAACCCAGTGATACCGGCCATAAAAGCCCACGAAGTCCATGGAACACAGTTTGGGAACAACTGTTCTAGAGACTTTTGTAAGGGTGTCATGTGAATACCATAGCAGAATACATTAATTTTCAGGATATAACAACATGTTGTACACTAAAATGTACAAATCACATCATGGTCAAATAAACTAGCATGTCATTGTAAGAATCATTGTTCCAAGGACCAATGTGCAGTCTCCTAAATAGAACATTGTCCAAAATCCTGTTCTTTTTGCATGATTTGGACAGTAAAATGTATGTATGTATTTATTTAATATATTCATATTCCGCCTTTCTCACCTTTGGGTCGGGGTGGGGAGCTCAAGGCAGTTTCCAACATATTAATAGCAAAAATTCAATGCCAACATAATAATAATAATAATAATTATTATTATTATTATTATTATTATTATTATCTTTATTTATACCCCACTACCATCTCCCCAAGGGACTCGGTGCGGCTTACATGAGGCCGAGCCCACAATACATCAATAATAAAAACAATAGCAAGTAATACAAAACAATAAAAATAAAACTCGTAACAGAAAATAAGCAATCAACATTAACAGTAACAAAACGACGTTTAAAAACCTATGGCTGGGTCAAATGTAATAATTAAAATTTAAAAATAATGCTGAGCATGAACAGGTGAAATATGACTAGGATAGCATTTTCAGAGAGGGATGGGCATGCAGACACTCCTAGATCAATAATAAAGTGCATTTAGAGGACATACAGCAAACATGCACATAGAAAGGGGGGGAAATCATAATAACTAAACACTAGCATATAACTATAAATGAAAATCATGAAAACCATTAAACATAAGGCATAAACAACATTTAAACATTAAGACAAAGCATTGAAAACATCTAGTATATGTTAAAAACATTGAGTATATGTAACATAACCTATACTAGGCCCTGATATTGCTGCGTCTGACAGAATTGGATGAAAAGTGTGTTTCATTTTTCAGCTTTGTATATTTTCATTCAAGGCTGATAGCACAGTATGCAAGGGAGACAGCATGGTGTAGTGGTTAGGACTCTGGAGAGCAGGATTCAAATCCCTCTCGGCCATAGAAACCCACGGGGCGACATTGTGGAAGTCAGCCTCAGAGAAATACAAAGGCAACCCCCTCTGGACACATCTTGCCAAGAAACCCATATGTTTGCTGTAAAACAAAGCACAGGAGGAAAATAATTTTGCTAGTACAGAGTTTGCATGTGTTCTGACTGTGGAAGAGAGCTGTACTGATGAAAGCATGGATGTGAATAGGGCTGGTTATTGTGCAAATAGTTGCAGAAGAAGATGGATAGTTGGAGTTTCCTATGGCTTCATGCCTGGATCTCCTTCTCTTGTTGAGAAGTCATTATAAAACACAGTAAACATGTTTGGCAGCATGGCCACTGTATTCAATATATGACTTTTCTTGCTTGTGACCTCTTTCCATAGCTAACTGTTGGGCACAGTTAAACATTCCCCTTCCCTTTATGTGACCCACCCTCAGTAATGTCTCCTGTATCTGTATGTGTCTTTTTAAAAATGCACTTGGTTCTTTCTGCACTGTTTGCAGGAGAACGGAGCCAGCACGATCCTCCGCGACATTGCCAGAGCCAGGGAGAATATCCAGAAGTCGCTGGCCGGAGTGAGTACCTGGGCGCTCTCCCACCAGCTGGCTAACTGCATTCATTTTTCCTAGCTGTGGCATATCTCACACATCTCCCCCCCTCTCCCTGAGCTGTGATTGATCTTCTCATAGTTTCTGTGTGTGTGTGTATGTCGCTTTTTGTAACCATAAATTAGCAAGGGGCTGGATGCAGCGGAATGACTTTGGTCATGATATTTGGTATTTTCTTTGGTGGAGACCCGTGTAACAACTTCCACTTTTGCAGAGTAATTTTAAATGTTGAAAGGTGTGACCGTTTCCCATTCTATGTAAGGAGAATTGGGTTGGTTTTGTTATAAATATGAACTCTAAATATTCCTGCAGTCAGCTCGAGCTAGATCTTTGTGAAGACACAAAGTTTTGGATTTTGTAAACAATCAGTTGCATTTCCTCCAAGGACCCTGAACTGATTTCTGCTGTGGTATCACCCCGTGTTAATTCCCAGCAATTGAAATGCATCGTTGTGCTCACAGACTACTTCATGTGTTAGGCTGTCCTACAACCTATTGCTTTGGAAAGCAGACTTTAAAAAAAAGAATTAGCATAGTTTTGTGAGGAAGGATATATACTTCATTGCGTGGCAGGTGGCTTTGTGCACTCCTGATATTTTGGACGCAACAATCAAAAGCCCCAGGCAATTTGGCCAATAGTCAAGGATGAGACAGTCCAAATTATCTGGAGGGAACCAGGTCACCTGCTCATGTCTTATTTCTCAGAGAGAGACTCTTCTCCTCATCTGTTCATAGAAGGGAGGTGGACACCTCCTCCAATTCAGATATTCGGAGACTAGCCACATAATTTTATACTAGTGCCCTCTCAACGTTCGTGTCCCCCCCGCCTCCACATACGAAGGTTTGTTTATTTTCCTGTCTCGCTATGAGTTCTCCCTTACAATTAGTTCTGCCCTCTTGCCTCACCTGGAGTTTTTAAATCATTTTATGTACATGCGGCCCGCTCTTTGTCATTTGTTTGTTGTCTATGCTCTGTGTATATTGTTTTATATGTTTTGTTGTGTTCATTTTAATGTTATGTTGTTTATTTTACTGCAATTTGTATTTCTATATTGAATTTGTTGTTTGGACTTGGTCCCGTGTAATCCGCTCCCAGTCCCTGTTGGGGAAATGGTGGCAGGGTATAAAGTTATTATTATTATTATTATTATTATTATTATTATTATTACTATTAAATTACTTGCTGTAGCTTGAGCATCTAAGAGACTCTGTTTTTATTGCTTGAAGGCAGGTTCTGCAGTAGTCCTGTCGTATTGTACCAGTGTCACTCCAGCATGCATTTGGCTGTACTTCTTCCTTGCTTCTTTCATGTCAGAATACTTCTGATTGGGTATAAATTAATAACTGGCACTAGACATTTTGGGACACAAAAGTTCAACAAGTGTGAGGGATTGTGTGTACCCAAACCTAACTGCTGCTGAGAGTCATACAACTGTGCAAACAATTATGGCTTGCCAAAGTTGAGGCAAATAATAAGTAACTGGCACCTGGCCTTCCTTGCCCAGAAATCTCTGACCAGCAAGGACAGCAGAACAGGAGGCTGTAAACTAGTCCGACTCTACAGTGAAGCCATACATACAACACAAGCTTAAAACTGAGCCAAGTAAGGCAGGTTATCAGATAAGGTCCCCAAACATAAATGAATGCGACTGTAGTTTAGGAACTTGGAACATAAGTGTCTTAAACATTGGGTCACTTGAGCAAAGTTTGCTCAAAATTTGAAATATGATGAACTTGTTTTATGTAGAGTTCCATATTTTGCTTTGAGGTCTGGTTTTTGCAGTCTCGTGTGTGTGTGTGTATTTGTATATCTCATTACATATTGTTTTGACTTAATGGCATTTTTGCATCATACTTGTGCTAGTTAGCTATTAAGAGGAAAGATTACGAGTAAATAACCTATCCAAAAGTGCCTGGAAAGTTGCTGTTGGCAGTTATTCTTGTATTGATCACTGCAGTTCTATAATCTATATAAATAAAAATGTAATGTTCGTTTGTGGGATTAACATAACTCAAAAACCACTGCATGAATTGACACCAGATTTGGACACAAGACACCTATCAGGCCAACAAGTGACCGCCACTCATAAAAACACTGAAAAATACAGCAGAAGGGACTTTAAAAACCAAAAAAATAAAATAAAAATTACAATGCATGCACAAAACCACGCACAGACACACACACATGTATATGCACATATACACAAATATATACACATGCATATACACACACAAAGCACATGCACACAGACTGGGCCGCAGCAACGCGTGGCAGGGGACAGCTAGTAAGATAATATAGGGAATAATGAAAGAGGAAAATACAGACTTTGTCTATTAAGTTGGTTTTCCTGTTAAATGGCTGTCTGTGTCTTGTCTTGCAATAGGCTGTCCTTTCCGAAGATGCATTTTGTTCTAGAGCAATAGTTCTCAACCTGTGGGTCCCCAGATGTTTTGGCCTCCAACTCCCAGAAATCCTATCAGCTGGTAAACTGATTGGGATTTCTGGGAGTTGTAGGCCAAAACATCTGAGGACCCACAAGTTGAGAACCACTGTTCTAAAGAAATCTATTATATCAGTTTGATTGTCGGTCAGTAACCATCCACATGCATAGTTGCATTTAAAAGAATGTTGGAACAAAAGCCACTTATTTATTCATTAATGAAAATATTTATATCCCACCCTGCATTGTGGGATTTGAGGAGGGCATATACAATTTAAAGCACTCCCAGATCAGAACTGTAAGTAGTTTAAACAGGATAAAAACATATTGAACAAGTCAACAGTTAAAACAAATTAGAAGGCCACAATTCATGAATCCTTTGAATATGAAGCTTTAATAAAAGGGCATCTTTTGACTTGTCGATGGAGGGAAACCCATGTTGGCTGCAGTCAGATTTCTAGATGGAAGAAAACCAGCCATCTGTAGCTCCAACTTCAGCCAGTGTCGGTTTTCTTCCATCATCAAGCCGAAATATGACTTTTTATTAAAGGAAATTATGTTCTAGAATTGGGGCATTACAATTGAGAGTAGTGAAGAGTCTGCAAACAGATTGATGCATGTGTGCATTTTTTCCTTGTTGCTTTGGTTCCTGAGTAAGGGTAGTAATTAATGATTCAGCAGGAGACACTGATGAGATGTGGCCTCAGTAATACTGCTGTAACATAGCTGGAGCATGTAGTAATCTACAGAAAAGAGCCGGTGATTGTGGATTATAGTGGAAGCTCCTTCATTAATATCTGGGGTGGGAGGATCATTACTAAGGGATGTAATATTGCAATTGGTATCCCTGCATGTAATGTAATGTCTGTGCTTGCTATTAGTAAGAATAGTTTTTGGACAGCTGTGTTTGCAATACTGGTCTGGCTTCATTTCATTTCTGCTCAGGTTTTTGCAGTTTAGCAAACAATGTGTGAATTCAGGAAAGTGTTAAATGGACCTTTTCTACTCAAGGGAATGATTTGGAGAATGGCTGGTAGATGTTGTTGAGTGTCTACCTGAGAGGCAGAAAAATGTGGGGTAAGATCTTGTGTATCTTTGGCATGTGGATTCACATTTCAAACAGAATTATGACTTCCACAAGAACCTAAAATATGAATTATGATGGTGTCAGTTTAACTTATGGCATCCTAACTCACAGCTCTGTGTAAGCCACCTTGGACCCCATTACGAGAAGAAAGTAGAATATAAATTATATAACAGGTTGCCAGCTCTGGTGTTGAAGAAATTAGACAGGAATTCTCACTTTGCTGCAGTGTCATTGGTCAATGTTGGAGATTGGTACCAAGAAGGACTCTATCGTCTCAAAATCTTCTGACACAGAGGCTGAAACCGCTGTCTGTTTTTTAAAGCAAGACACTGTATTTTGATTGTATTTCATTAAATCTTGAATGTGCAGCATTTAAGTCAGTTAAGGTTTCCGATACAAGTATTTCTCAAATTACACTGTTATTTAGCTCAGTAGGTGTGGGATCTCAACAGGTGAGGAATCGAAAGTGGTGTCAGTTGATGCACAGGTATTGAATGTATGTATTTATTTATTTACAGCATTTATATTCCACCCTTCTCACCCCAAAGGGGACTCAGGGCAGATCACAGAACACATACACAGCAAACATTCAATGCTATTAGGCATACAGGACAGAAAGACAGATAGAGGTCTGTGTGTCTGCATTTTTCCAACTTTGGCATCCTGGAGGCTATGCCTGATTCCAGCCACAGGGGGGTACTGTTGCTCTATCCTCTATGATGATGAGCCTTTTGATTATAGACTTTCCTCTTATTCTTTGATTGCTGGCTTTTTTATGGTGCTGTAAAATACCTCCCCACTTAAGCAGTGCCTAATTTTTCACAGCTGATTAGGTGGACAATATTCATTTATTTATTCATTTACAACATTTTTATCCTGCCCATTTCAGCCTGAAGGCAACTCAGGGTGGCGTACAGATCGGCAACAATTAGATGCCATATAGAAAGCTCTGCTGAAGGGCGGGTGCTCAATCCGACCCAGGCTCGAACTGCCAATCTTTCAGTTGGGAAAGATCTATCGAAAGATGAACTAGTGACAAACAGTGCATATGTTTTGTTTTGGCACACATTGTACAACTCGCTTTATTTTTTATTTTGTTTTTTGTTTTGCTCCATTCAGCTATCACGCTTCCAAGGTAGCATCTTTGTCGAAGTGCAAATATAGTTGAATTGTCATGTAAGATGATTATCACATGTCATGGCAAGCTTGAGCTGAAAATTTGGTTCTCTGTGGCTGGAGAAGGAAGACAGCATTTCCTTAGGGGATCTGCTTTTCAAACTGCATAAACAACTTTTAAAACACTGCCTGGGGTTATTTACTTGTAGTGTGCGTTTCATAGTAAAATCAGCATCCCGCCCAAACTTGCCTTCAGCAGGTACACCTAAAATAATTAGTCTGGCAGTTTGATCTTAACTGAATGTTAAGTTGCACATTAAGAACAATTAGTCATTCTTTTCTCTTCCTTTTTAATATTGTTGTTATAAGCACCTGGATAGTTGACTCAGAGCTCTGTAAGCAACACTAGGAGGCATCCTTGCCCTCATCTTTTTCTTTGCCCTAAATATTGAACTTCAACTTAATTTGCGTAGAATCACAGAATTGTAGATCTGAAAGGAACCCAATAGATCTCCTCTGACATCAAAGGAAATTCACAGCTAAAGCAGAGGCCCAGCCACTTTCTGTTTTAAAAATTTCCACAAAAATGAGCCTGTTACTTTCCAATCAGAAAGTCTTTGTGTGTAAGTGGTCAGTGTATGTACCATGCTGTTCACAATTGAGGATTTTGGGTTTTCCTCTAATTGACCCTGAGGCTTCTGGATATCTGTCATCTTGCAGTAAACTTTTGATAGATTTTTTTAAAACCAGGAGCAAATGTCATGGAAATATGTCCCTGTGTTTCAGAAGGTAGATGGTGCGTGCTTTTTAGTTTTCTTTGCAAATCCTGTTTTTCTTTTCTGTCCCCCATTGTACTCAGATTTCCATTGCACTGTTTTTAATGTCCTTTGTAGAGCTGGCGTTCCTGTTCTGCTTGAGAATGAGAAAATCTTCCAGAATCTCTTTCATACAATTTATTTTCCAGCTGACTTATTTTGTTGTCATGTTCCCAGTGTTCAAGCTGTAACATGTAAGTCTTCCTTAAAAGGATTTTCCAAAAGCAGAAGGCAATACATGTGGTTACTTTGACCTAATGGTACTTTCCAGATATTGGGAAAATTACACTTTTATAATACTAGTTAAACTGCCCAGCCAGCATTACCACTTGCAGTGTTGCAATTGTAGGTCAGAAAAAGAGAAAATTTCCACGCCATGGCTGACTAGTGGTTTTGCTTGCTGGTTTTAAAGGAAGGACATTCTGAATCCCTGATACTGTATGTTTAAACTAAGCAGGCTCAATGATAAATAGAAATATTGGTGAAATTATTGTAATAATTCAAGAATCACAGAGGCAACTGAAAAATTTAGAACATTTATTTATTTATTTATCGTATCAGAAGCAAACCAAAGGTACAGTTGTGATTTATTAAAAAAAAACAACAAAGTTTAAAAACTTGGCATTACATTAAATGTCCTTTGATCAGTAGCTGGCCACTTGGAGTGCCTCTGGTGTTGCTATAAGAAGGTCCTCCATTGTGCATGTGGCAGGGCTCAGGCTGCATTGTAGTAGATGGTCTGTGGTTTGCTCTTCCCCACACTTGCATGTTGTGGACTCCACTTTGTGGCCCCATTGCTTAAAGTTGGCTCTGCATCTCGTGGTGCCAGAGCACAGTCGGTTCAGTGCCTTCCAAGTCTTCCAGTCTTCTGTGTGCCCAGGAGGAAGTCTCTCATTTGGTATCAGCTATTGGTTGAGGTTCTGGGTTTGAGCCTGCCACTTTTGAACTCTCGCTTTCTGAGGTGTTCCAGCGAGTGTCTCTGTAGATCTTAGAAAACTATTTCTTGATTTAAGGCATTGACGTGCTGCCTGATAGCTGAACAGAGGACGGGCCGGAGATGTCACTGGCTTGATCCTTTCATTATTGACTACTGCTTCCCGGCGAATGTCAGGTGGTGCAATACCGGCTAAACAGTATAATTTCTCCAGTGGTGTGGAATGTAGACATCCTGTGATAATGCGCCATGTCTCATTAAGAGCCACGTTCACTGTTTTAGCGTGGTGAGATGTGTTCCACACTGGGCATGCGTACTCAGCAGCAGAGTTGCAAAATGCAAGGACTGATGTCTTCACTGTGTCTGGTTGTGATCCCTCTGGGGATGTAGAACAGTGAGAACCAAGAGATTATAGACAGAAACATGAGCGTGCAGGCAAGAAAGGAAGGTGACCCCAACATACAATTGTGACAATCCCATTTTGGGTTCTGACCCATAATTTTAGAAGCTCTAGCTTAAGCTGTTTAAATACATACAAGTTTATAAATAATTCATTACTCACTGGCCAAGGCATATATTAACTTGAGAGTGTTGGTTTTGCAATTTTGTCAGACTCTTATGCCATTTCTAGTATGTATAATGTCTACTGCAGTGGTTCTCAACCTGTGGGTCCCCTGATGTTTTAGCCTTCAACTCCCAGAAATCCTAACAGCTGGTAAAGTGGCTGGGATTTCTGGGAGTTGTAGGCCAAAAACCCCTGGGGACCCCAGATTGAGAACCACTGGTCTACTGGATAATCTCTAGCCATATTGTGTCTTGAGTGCTTCAGGCTGTTCTGAAAGCAAACTGTTTCTGGCAGTTAAGTCTAGGCAGATGGCATTTGTTATGACAGTAGTACAGGAAAAGAGAGTCCATCTAAACTTTAAGAAAAACTTCCTTCTCAAGAGGTTTTGAGATAAGCCGGATGGCCATCATTTGGGAAGGCTTTGGTTGTAGATTCCTGTGTGTTAGAATGGATTTGGATTGGATGGTCTTGATGTCTCTTTCAGCTATAATTTTATGACTTAATGGCTCCATTGAGATGTACAAAATTCGGTGAGCATAGTGTAGAAATATTTTGCATCCATAGCAGTGAAGAGTATGCTATATATGAGGTCATTTATTTATTTATTTATTTATTTATTTATTTGCGACATTGATATACCGCCCCTCTCATCCCAAAGGGGACTCATGGTAGGAAACAGGAGAGAAAATATGCAGACTGCTCTGATAAGGTTGTTGCAGGTAATGCATCTCATTTAAAGGGGTAGATACACAAAATAAGGTTACCTAACTTTGGTAGAAGAGTTCCTAGTGCTGATTCTCGAGGTTAAGATGCCTGAGCTGCTCTTTTCTCTACCAAAGTTTAGTAAAACACTAAAGACTTTTGATAAAAGGAAGAAGTGACCCTTACAAACATGGCACAAAAACACTTTGAGCTACTTAGCTCTAGGAAACAGGTGAGAAGACGACAGCAGTCCTGCACCACTAGGTTCATTCTGTTTGTACTTCCTCCACGTAGAAGTGTTGATGTGCCTTCACTTCCAACACATAGAATCTCACCTGTCAAGTGTGGCTCATTCACTTTTACCTGGAATGGAGTGATTTGCTGTCCCAACTCAGCTAAATTGGCCCAGGGTTGATCTTACTCCAGTTGAACTGCACTTTGGACCTGCAACTACTATGTGCAGTGTATGCTCTGATTACTGCCTGACCCTCATCAGATTCTTCTACTTAAGCTTTTCTTCATTTAGGCATGTTTCCCTGCATGGAGGCTTGAGTACTGTGCTTGCTTGTGCAGCGCTGCATGAGTGAATCCATATAAAGAGAGTACACTTTTTTTACCCCCCAAATTGCTCTTGCCCCTTGCAGCTCAAGACAGTTTTGCACAATACTTCCGAAGCCCCTCCTGTTCGACGCAAGAAGCACTCGGGTCGTGCGACTGTAAGTCGCTTGTGGCTGTAAGGAGGTGTGGGGGGGGGGGGGGGGGGGGGGGGGGGGGGGGGAGTCAGTGTCGCACGTTGGCCTCTCTGTCTTGTCTGTTAGGATCCGCCTGTGAGCGAGCGCTTGTGCTCATCCCCAAGCCTTTCCTCCTGTTCCCAATCCTGTCATCAAGCTGCTTTGCAAAATTTGCACCCTTCATTTGTCAATTCTATTCAGTTGTGCACCTGAATGTATTAAATCATTGTATTTGGTGATGTACAGGCATCTTTTAAGCATTGCGTCTCAAGTAGAGGACTAAACTTTCCTCACCAAGAGAGAGAGCGAGAGAGAAAGTTCTTGTATGCCATTCAAGCAACAAGAAAGACTTCACACACAGTGGCATAAATGTGACTTGGTTCCAGACAGCGCACAGAGAGAGCTGCTTAGAGGCTTTTGTTAGTCTAGTACAATGTTAGACTTCTGTATTGGAACAACCAGTGCGATCTTAAAAGGAAAGGAAGCTTAGCAATTTGCCATACAGTGCAGAATGGACTGGGACTGTTATCCTACTGTATTGATGGGCATGGCCTCATGTAAGCCATCCCGAGTTCCCTTGAGATGGTGGCAGGGTATAAATAAAGATTATTATTATTATTATTATTTATTTGAAACACAACAAGATGAGTCCACAGCAGAAAAGATTACTCTGCTGGCTGTTGTATTGGATCCCACGTTGGACACTTCCCAAGTATCTAGGACTGTGTGATGTAATAATAATAATAATAATAATAATAATACTTTATACCCCGCTACCATCTCCCCAAGGGACTCGGTGCGGCTTACATGAGGCCGAGCCCACAATACAATAATACATGCAATAACAACAACAATACAAAGCAATTAAAAAAAACTCATACAGAGATTGTATTGGCGAATAATGCGTGCAGATCCCAGTAAGGTGGCCTGCAATTGGCAGCTGGTAATTTTGTCAGCACCGATTGTGTTTAAGTGCAGGCCAAGGTCTTGAGGCACTGCACCCAGTGTGCCGATCACCACTGGGACCACCTTGACTAGTTTGTGCCAGTGTCTTTGCAGTTCGATCTTTAAATCCTCATATCATGCCAGCTATTATTATTACTATTATTATTATTATTATTGTGATTCCAGTTATTTAGAGAACAGATACTCTTGCTATTTTGAGAAGAATTGATCTGTTCTAGTCCTATAAAGAAGAAGGCACCTTTCTTAGAATATGATTTACAATGTGTATGCACCTGGCATTTTGTTTTTCAAAGCAAGAGGTAGGTTCCTTTTCCTGTGCAACACACATCCATATCAAAATACATACCAGCCACATAGAATGTCACCTGTAAAGTGCTGGAAGGTGCCACACAGTTGAGGTAATTCAACAGTTACCTTTTTGTTTCTGTATTTTATTACTTTTTCAAAATTCAGGAAACTGAGGAAACCAAACCAGGGCACACCAGGTCCACCATAGGCTCGTTGGAAATAAGGCTACCAAGCTTTAGGCATTTTTGTCACAAACTATCTCGTTAAATACGCTTTCCCCCATTTGCTCCTTGTTTGTTTCCATCCTGTTGCTTCCAGTTTTGTCTAAAAGGTGTGTCTCTTGTCTATAAATTGCCAACTACTATCTCATCTGCAATCTCCTTCCTGCTTTCCGTTGCAGAGTGCCAGCAGTTCTTCTTCCGCAGGGCCTGCTGGGGACCAAGGGGAGCTGATCACTAGGATTGCACACCTGGAGGCAGAGAACCAAAGTCTTCACAGCGGTGAGTGGAAAAACCTGGCAATGGGTCGAATGTGCTGGTGAATTCTTTCTATTCTCTTAGATTTCACATATTGCTTGCAGCTTGAGGGGCCAGGGCTTCACGTGACTGATAATTCATATATAACTTACATTTGCCTAAGTCTGATTGCCTTAGTTTAATTATTTTGCATTCTATTAAAGTGGTTCTTGGACTCATTTATTTGTGTTCTTAGCTATTTGTGGGATCCGCAGAACCCTCCATCAACACCACATTGCAAATGAGTTGATTCTCTTCCTAGAATCATAGAATCCTAGAGTTGGAAGAGACCTCATGGGCCATCCAGTCCAACCCCATTCTGCCAAAAAGCAGGAATATTGGATTCAAAGCACCCCTGACAGATGGCCATCCAGCCTCTGTTTAAAAGCTTCCAAAGAAGGAGCCTCCACCACACTCCGGGGCAGAGAGTTCCACTGCTGAACGGCTCTCACAGTCAGGAAGTTCTTCCTTGTGTTCAGATGGAATCTCCTCTCTTGTAGTTTGAAGCCATTGTTCTGTGTCCTAATCTCCAGGGAAGCAGAGGACAAGCTTGCTCCCTCCTCCCTGTGGCTTCCTCTCACATATTTATACATGGCTATCATATCTCCTCTCAGCCTTCTCTTCTTCAGGCTAAACATGCCCAGCTCCTTGAGTCGGTCCTCATAGGGCTTGTTCTCCAGAACCTTGATCATACATTCCTGCCCTCTTTGTCAGCCTTATTATAGAAGCTGGAAATGGATCCAGTCTTCAGTATCCTTGAATTCTGTGCCGACAGATTCAACCATCCAGGGCTTGAAAATATATTTTTAAAATTCCAAAACTAGCTTCAATTTCATAATTTTATGCCAGGGACACAATTTTACCACATCGTTGCATAAAAAGAGACTTGAGCACCCACAGATTTTGGTCCTGGAACAAAACCCCAGCAGATAGAAAGGGCCAAATTCATAATCACAGGGATGGATTGGATTTTGATATGTAATTATATATCCTTACAGTGAGGAAGGTATTCATTTCCTTCACAACTGCTGTTCTAAGCGATAGACTCTTCTGATTTCTTAACTGCAGCCTCCTTTTTTATTATAAACTAGCCGTCCCCTGCCACGCGTTGCTGTGGCCCACATGGGGGTTCTGTGTGGGAGTTTTAGCCCAATTCTATCGTTGGTGGGGTTCAGAATGCTCTGTGATTGTAGGTGAACTATAAATCCCAGCAACTACAACTCCCAAATGTCAAGATTCTATTTTCCCCAAACTCCACCAGTGTTCACATTTGGGCATATTGAGTATTCGTGTAGAATTTGGTCCAGATCCATCATTGTTTGAGTCCACAGTGATCTGTGGATGTAGGTGAACTACAACTCCAAAACCAAAGGACACTGCCCACCAGACCCTTCCAGTATTTTCTGTTGGTCAAGGGAGAACTGTGTGCCAAGTTTGGTTCAATTCCTCATTGGTGGGGTTTAGAATGTTCTTAGATTGTAGGTGAACTATAAATCCCTTCAACTACAACTCCCAAATGACAAATCATATTTTTTTAAAGTAAAGGACATACATTGGGTTGTTAGGTGTCTTGTGTCCAAATTTGGTGGCAATTCGTCTAGTGCAGTGGTTCTCAACCTGGGGTCCCAGATGTTTTTGGCCTTCAACTCCCAGAAATCCTAACAGTTGGTAAACTGGCTGGGATTTCTGGGAGTTGTAGGCCAAAAACCTGGAGACCCACAGGTTGAGAACCACTGGTCTAGTGGTTTTTGAGTTCTGTTAATCCCACAAACTAACATTACATTTTTATTTATATAGATGACTGAGCCAAGCTACAGTAAGTGGACAGACTCCAGTGTTGAGTGCATCCAAATAGTTCCAAACTTTTGGAAGCTAAGGTGATCCTACCTTGAGTTTTTCATGGGATTTGTTGCCTTGTCATTGCCTTCTTTTGAGGAGGAGAGTGTGTGACTTTCCCATGGTCAACTATTGGGTTTCCGGGTTAAGCAAGGACTCAAACCCTGGTCTGCCGGCACTCAAGTCCAACGCACAAAGCACCACAACATGCCAGTTTACAGTACAGTACAATGCAGTATCTAGGAAGAAGGAAAGCCAAATGTTCCTATGTTGTCGTTCATTCATACATACTTATTTCCCTTTTCCCTTCACGTCCTCAGTGGTTGTGGACCTGCAGCTTGCCATCTCCAGACTAGAATGTCGCCTGAATGTGCTGGAAAAAGCATCTGCTCATCATCCTTCCCCACCACCACCGACACAGGTAAAACTATGCTTGCATTTGACATGTGATTCACTGTATTCATTTATAAACAAACATGCTGAGATGCTTAAGAGCCCTGCTTGCATTATAGGTCTCCAAAGAGGAGCTTTATTGGCCATCCAGCTTTAGCAAGGAGGTTCTTATTTAAGTCCTCCATAGTGCATAAATACATGGGCCAAAATCTGGTTGTTGACCCTAACATTAATTAATCACTGGGTTGTTGTAGGTTTTTTCGGGCTATATAGCCATATTCTAGAGGCATTGTCTCCTGACGTTTCGTCTGCATCTATGGCAAGCATCCTCAGAGGTAGTGAGGTCTGTTGGAACTAGGAAAATGGGTTTATATATCTGTGTAATGACCAGGGTGGGACAAAGGACTCTTGTCTGTTGGAGCTAGGTGTGAATGTTTCAGCTGAGCACCTTGATTAGCATTTGATGGCCTGGCAGTTGTTTGGTGTAGCTTGTTAGTGCCTGGGGCAATCTTTTGTTGAGAGGTGATTAGATGTCCCTGGTTGTTCCCTCTGTTGTTTTGCTGTTGTAATTTTAGAGTTTTTTTTAAATACTAGTAACCAGATTTTGTTCATTTTCATGGTTTCCTCCTTTCTGTTGAAATTGTCCAAATGCTTGTGGATTTCAGTGGCTTCTCTGTGTAGTCTGATTGTTAGAGTGGTTGTGAGAGTGGTCCAGCATTTCTGTGTTCTTAAATAATATGCTATATCCAGGTTGATTCATCAGGTGCTCTGCTATGGCTGACTTCCCTGATTGAGTCGGTCTACAGTGCCTTTCATGTTCCTTGATCCGTGTCTGGGCGCTGCATTTGGTGGTCCCTATGTAATTAATCCCGTTGATTTAATGGTTCTACTCCAATTGAAAGAAGTTACTGGATTTATGCTCAATCTTTCAGAGTTAATTTCAGCCAGGTAAGTAAGACCCTACTGAGAGCCCTGCAGGTAAATTAATGTCCCTTTCTCCAATTGTTTTCCAATTCTGCCCTTCTTGCACACTGACTTGTCATGGAACCTGTGATGGAAACGGAATCTGGTACATCTTCCAGAGCTTTCCCTTCAGGTTTTATCATTTCTCTAGGGCAGCTAAGACTTGGTCCTGGAACACCTCCCTGTCACTGTGCATTGCAAAGAAGGAGTGGTAAAATCTTGTCTCCTGTATATGTCATCAGTTGGGGACCCCTCCTCCCAGCACCAATCAAATACTAATAATAATATAATATTATAATTATATATTTATATTACATGTAATATTGCTAATAATATTACAATATAATTGGTATAGTACAATATAGCAATATTTAAAACTGATATTGTACTATGCTAATAATATAATATATTGTATGTATATATATACCTTGTAAGCCGCTCTGAGTCCCCTTCGGGGTGATACATACATACACACACACACACACACACACAAATATATATGCTCTGTGCATAATGAGTACCTTAAAAACAAAAGAACATATGAACGAAATCACACCAAATTTGGCAACAAAACGCCTCACAACAAAAGGAGTGACCATCACTCAAAAAATTATGATTTTTGTCATTTGGGAGTTGTAGTTGCTGGGATTTATAGTTCACCTACAATCACAGAGCATTCTGAACCCCACTAACGATGGAATTGAACCAAACTTGGCACACAGTTCTCCCATGACCAAAAGAAAGTACTGGAAGGGTTTGGTGGGCAGTGACCTTTGGTTTTGGAGTTGTAGTTCACCTACATCCAGAGATCACTGTGGACTCAAACAATGATGTATCTGGACCAAACTCTACACAAATACTCAATATGCCCAAATGTGAACACTGGTGGAGTTTGGGGAAAATAGAATCTTGACATTTGGGAGTTGTAGTTGCTGGGATATATAGTTCACCTACAATCAAAGAGCATTCTGACCCCCACCAACGATAGAATTCGGCCAAACCTCCCACACAAAACATCCATGTGGGCCACAGCAACGTGTGGCAGGGGACAGCTAGTAAATAATAAACGTGGAGACTCTTTCTCAGGAGGTTTTTGACGGAGACTCGATAGCCGTCTGTCAGGAGGGCTTGGATTGTGTGTTTCTACAAAGCAAAACAGGGTTACACAGAATAGTCCTTCCAACTCATACGATTCGATTATGATTTCACCAGGATATCCTTGGTGGAATTTCTCACAGTGGAGTGTGCTTCCGCTGTGCACATGGAAATATCTGCTTCTCCCACTGCCTTCAGCAATTCCTTTTGCTTTCCCTTATTTATTGGGTTTCTTTTATGTATGTTCTCCTTGAAGCACGTCACCCCCATGAGGAAGGTGGAACCACAGGCTGCTCCGTCAAAGAAAGTCAATCCGCCTTCAGCTTCGGCCGTTGCTGAGGAAGACGAGGACGACGACATCGACCTGTTTGGAAGTGACGAGGAGGAGGACCAGGAAGCAGCCCGAATTCGGGAAGAGCGACTAAAGCAGTATGCGGAGAAGAAATCCAAGAAGCCTGGCCTGATTGCCAAGTCCTCCATTCTCTTGGATGTCAAGCCTGTAAGTTTGTCTCTGATCAGGGCAGGGAATGAATGGGGTGGGGTAGGGTGGGGGGCACAAACCAAACCTCAGCAGATACCAAGCTCTTTTGTGTGGCGTACTTGTACAGTTAAGTTCGCAAAATGCTCTTCCTGTTTGTTTGATATCTGTCTCATTCCTCTCCTCCCCCTGATCTTCAGTGGGGAAATTGGAAATAGAGGCTGGAACACTATTCTTAGTCCAAGAAAAAGAGTAAACATTACAGCCAGGGCTATTGTACTTGGGACTCCAATTAAGATTTGGCCATCTATATAAATAAAAATGTAATGTTTGTTTGTGGGATTAACATAACTCAAAAAGCACTGGACGAATTGACACCACATTTGGACACAAGACAGCTCTCAGGCCAACGAGTGACCTTCATTGGCCTGAAAAACACAGAGGAAGGGACTTAAACAGCAAAACAAAAAACAAAAATACATTACAACGCATGCACAAAACCACACATATATACACGAACGCACACACATATACATATACATAAAACACATACACAGAAAGGGGGAAGGAAGGAGGGAGGGAAGGAAGGAAAGAAAAAAAGGGTAGAGAAAGAAGGATAGAGAAGGAAGGAGAGAAAGAAGGAGGGAAGGAGAGAAAGAGGGAAAGAAAGAAGGGTAGAGAAGGTGAGAAGGACGGAGGGAAAGAAGAAGAGAAAAGGAGGGAAGGAAAGAACGAAGGGTAGAGAAGGAGGGAGAGAAAGACGGAAAGAAAGAAAGGTAGAGAAGGAAAGGAGAGAAGGATATAAAAAAGTGAAAGAGGGAAGGAAGGAGGGAAGGAACGAAAGAGAGAAAGAGGAAAGGAAGGAAAGAAACAAGGAAGGATGGAACCAAAGAGCAAAGGAAGTGAGAAAAGAAACAGGTAGAGAAGGAAGGAAGGAAGGAAGGAAGGAAGGAAGGAAGGAAGGAAGGAAGGAAGGAAGGAAGGAAGAAAGAAAGAAGAAAGGGGATTCAAAGCGGCTTACAAGATATAATATACATACAATATATTATATTATTAGCATAGTACAATATCAGTATTATATATTACTATATTGTACTATACCATTATATTGTAATATTATTAGTAATATTACATGTAATATAAAATATTGTATTATTAGTAGTAGTATTATATTGTATTATATTCTATTGTAATGTTTTAAAGTGTTTTTGCACTACAAATAAGAGGTAGAGAGATGTGCAGTGTGCATAGGAATTCATTCATTTTTTTCCCCCAAATTATAATCTGACCGTCCAACAGTTTGAGGGACTGTGACCTGGCCCTCTGCTTAAAAATTTTGAGGACCCCTGCTTTATATGGTCTCAGGATCTGGCTGATTTAAATGTGGAGTTCTAACTACTTTGTGAACAAAGGGCTCTTATAATTCTTTGCTAGTTTAATAGAGTGATTTAGGTGCAAACTGTGATGGGTTTTGGACTGTACAAAATAGCAGCTTGAGAAGCTGGTTTCTTGCTCCAGGAGAATACACCAAACTGATAATTGAAGTTTACAAAGCAGAAATCCTCACTGGCCCATCACCATGTTATTTGTATCTTTGACTTGCCTTCAGCTCTGAACTGACTTGATTGTGCCTTTGTACTCGTACACACCAGTTCAGGTGTGGTTTTGCAGGGAGGTTTTACATCAAGGAGCTTTATAGAAACTTAATTGGAAGGCAGGAAAAAGGCCCAAAACCTTTATGGAATTGCTAACTAGACTGTTGGAGAATCAACTAAGTCACATATCAAGATTTTTGCTAACTAGATTGGACAACTGGTTTTAGTTGGAGAATCAACCAAGTCACCTGTGAAGATTTTTTCCCATAAAGTTTTCATCAGTAAGGAATACTTGGATCAGTTGTTTCTTCTGAAATTTTATCTGGATAAGGCATGGACAAACTTGGGCTCTGCAGGGGTTTTGCTGTATAAGTACACCTTAATGTTGTTTATTTGATTGTCCATGATTTGATGTGTTTTATGTTTTTCTTGGCATTGAATTTTTGCCAAATTTTGTTGTAAACAGCCCTGAGTCCATTTTGGGTGATGGGGTGGGATAGAAAAAAAGTTGTTGTTGTTGTTGTTGTTGTTGTTGTTGTTATTATTATATATTTTGATATTATTATATTATTTGATCACTCTGCTGGCTTCTGAATTGTATCACACATCAGACACTTCCCAGGTGTCTAGGACTGTGTGATGTATCAGCGAATAATGTGTGCAGATCCGAGTTGGGTAGCTTTTTGCAGCTGACAGATGGTAATTTTGTCAGAGCTGATTGTTTTTAAGTGCAGGCCAAGGTCTCAAGGCACTGCACTCAGTGTGCCGATCACCGCTGGGACCACCCTCACTGACATAATAATAACAACTATTATATATTATATATTGTTGTTGTTATTATTATATTATTTGATCACTCTGCTGGCTTCTGTATTGGATCACACGTCGGACACTTCCCAAGTGTCTAGGACTGTGTGATATATCGGCAATTAATGCATGCAGATCCGAGTTGGGTGGCCTTTTGCAGCTGCCGATTGTTTTTAAGTGCAGGCCAAGGTCTTGAGGCACTGCACCCAGTGTGCCGATCACCACTGGGACCACCCTCATTGACACAATAATAACAACAACAACAACAACAACAATTATTATTATTATTATTATTATTATTATTATTATTATTATTTAGGACTTCCAACTCCATAATTCCTAACAGCACCAACTGTTAGGAATGGTCAGAGTTGAAGTCCAAAACCCTGGAGGGCCCAAGTTTGCCATGCCTGATCTAGAGCAGCTGGTATTTGCTAGTGGCCTCTTATCCAAGGACTAACCAGGGCCAACTCTGTGTTACTTATGGGATCAGGTGTCTTTAGGACTGTGGTTCTCAACCTGTGGGGCCCAGGTGTTTGGCTTACAACTCCAAGTAATGCTAGCCAGTTTATCAGCTGTTGTGATTTCTGGGGGTGGAAGGCCGAAACATTTGGGATCCTTGCTCACCCTTTCCTCTCTGCTTTTTTCCCAGTGGGATGATGAGACAGACATGGCCAAGATGGAAGAATGTGTTCGATCCGTTCAGATGGACGGCTTAGTCTGGGGAGCCTCCAAACTGGTCCCAGTAGGCTATGGAATCAAGAAGCTCCAAATCCAGTGTGTGGTGGAGGACGACAAAGTGGGGACAGATATCCTAGAGGAAGAGATCACCAAGTTCGAAGACTATGTAAGTCACCTGGGAAGTGCCAGGATCACTATGTTGTGTGTCTTCAGTAGTTAGGTGTCCAGTCATTTCTTTCAGCTGTGATAGATCTGGGGGGGGGGGGTCACTTTTTTCCTGCTGGGGCTCTCTGAAGGCAATATTCGTTGCACAGAAATTGCCTTCCTTTAGAAGTACATCTTGCTCAAATGTTCATTTAGCTTTCCAAACTTTCAGCAAATACGCCACTTGCTCTATGTAAACACATTTTGGGGTGGGAGGTGTGGGGTAGGGGGTAGTTGTCATGATGTTAGAACACAAACGAAAATCATACAGCTTTGCAGGTTATACTGAACTGAAAGTCCTAACAAGCCCCAGTTGACATAATAAATTGTGGAAAATGCTGGGAATTGTCATCATAGGCTATCCCTCGGAGGCGAATATGATTGCCTTCCAAGTGTAGAGTCTTAGCGGTGGTCTGTAAGTTCAGTGAATTATAGTCCTGGCCATTTGAAGGGCTGCTTGATCCCCACTAGCTGTTTTTAAAAGTTTCCTCAATGAGATTGCTGGCTTTGTCCTTTGCAATATAAGTAATTTTACCAGCAAAAATTGGAAAACGTATTGACTCGAGTATAAGCCGAGGATGAGAAATGCATCAGCTACTGGTAAATTTCAAAATAAAAATAGATATCAATAAAATTACATTAATTGAGAGGCATCATTAGGTTCAGTGTGTTTGAATATTTACATAAAACTGTAATTTAAGATAAGACTGTCCAACTCTGATTAAACCATTATTTAAATGTAATTGTGCTTATGTATCCTTTCAATAATAATAAAGACAGTAAAATAATAAATGTAATAATAATAATAATAATAATAATAGAATAGAATAAAATAATGGAAATGTAATAATAACAGTTTCCCTTATTTTATTCTATTATTATTTTTATTACATTTATTAATAATGTAATAATAACAGTGGAGCCCCCAGTGGCGCTGTGGGTTAAAGCGTTGAGCTGCTGAGCTTGTTGACCAAAAGGTCGCAGGTTCAAATCCGGGGAGCCCCAGCTTCTGCCAACCTAGCAGTTTGAAAACATGCAAATGTGAGTAGATCAATAGGTACCGCTCTGGTGGGAAGGTAACGGCGCTCCATGCAGTCATGCCGGCCACATGAACTTGGAGGTGGCTACGGACAGCGCCGGCTCTTCGGCTTAGAAATGGAGATGAGCACCACACCCCAGAGTCAGACATGACTGGACTTAATGTCAGGGGAAAACCTTTACCTACCTTTACCCTAATAATAACAGTAATTATAGAGTAAAATAATAAATGTAATAATAACAATAATAAATAAAGTAAAATAATAAATGTAATAATAATAGAGTAAAATAAGAAATGAATTAATAATAATAATAATAACAATAATAGAGTAAAATAATAAATATAACGACGCTCCATGCAGTCATGCCGGCCACATGACCTTGGAGGTGTCTATGGACAACACCGGCTCTTTGGCTTAGCAATGGAGATGGGCACCACACTCCAGAGTCAGACATGACTGGACTTAATGTCAGGGGACAACGTTTACCTTTTAATAAATATAATAATAATAAATAGAGTAAAATAATACATGTAATAGAAATAACAATAATAATAATAACAGTAAAATAATAAATAACTTTGACTCAAGTATAAGCCAAGGGGGACATCTCCTCCTATGAACCGGTGCGAACTCTAAGATGTTTCAGGAAGGCCCTCCTTTCGCTCCCACCACCGTTACAAGTACGGTTGGTGGGGACGAGAGAGAGGGCCTTCTCGGTGGTGGCCGCCTGCCTCTGGAACACCCTTCCAAGGGAAATAAGACAGGCCCCATCCCTCCCCTCCTTTCATAAGAGCTTGAAGAGCTGATGGTTTCAACAAGCCTTTGAGAATGACCAGTTCTAGTCCAACCCAAACAGTGTTGAATATGCCCTTGCACCCTTACCTATGACCCCCGGTCATTTCTCTAATAGGCCCTGGAAATGAGCAGCCACAGACCCATACCTGCTATTGCCGTTAGCCTGTTATAGCACTGTACTTAATCCCCGGCCCCTCATATTTTGAGTTTGCACTAGCCTTGGCCCGGCTTTTTAATTGCTCTGAATAGGCAGGATTATTTTTAATGTACATGTGTTGTTGTGGTGATTGTATGCTTATGTTGTTTTGTGAATTTTATGTTATGTTGTTTACTTTTGGTGATGTTACTTGGGAACTGCCCTGAGTCCCCCTCAGGGAGATAGAGCGGTATATTAACAAAGTTTTATTATTATATTATATTTTTTCAGCTTTATAAAAGGGCTGAAAAACTCTGCTTACACTCGAGTATATACGGTATGCCTCCTCTTTCTTTAATGCTATTAGATCTGAATGTTACTGGTTAGCTTCAACTAGAGAAATGCATTAGCTTGGTGGTAAATGTTAAGTCAACAGGTTAGGAAATTCAGTTGGTTGAAATTAGGTTTTGGACCTCGGAACACCCCACAAGTAAAAGCGAATCTTTTCTCACTGGCCTTTTTCTCTCTTTATGTCTTTCAGGTGCAGAGTGTTGACATAGCTGCTTTCAACAAGATCTAGTAGCAAGCCTTTACACTTTTTAAAGTTAATAAAAGGTCAAGAGTTGGAAGATCAATGATGTGTGACAGCTGTTTCCTTAACCCAGACATGGGCAAACTGTGGCCCTCCAGGCGTTTTGGGCTTCAGCTCCCACAATTCCTAACAGCCAGTAGATTGTTAGTAATTGTGGGAGTTGAAGTCCGAAACATCTGGAGGGCTGAAGTTTGCCCAGGTTTGCCTTAACCCTTGGAGATACTCTTAGTAGGATTCAGCAGATGCAGGCACTAATTGGAAAAGCAACATGGCTTGGATGTGACTTCCTGAAGGACTTACTACAAGCATAATTACAAAGCTATAAGAGAGAGCAGTAAAAGGACCTTGAGAAAAATACCAGTGTGGCTGCACAAAAAGCTTTATTGAAGGGCAAATGATAGAAAAGACATGAATAAGAAAGGAAAAGAGGAATTTTTCACCAATTACGAGATGTATTCCACGCTGCAGCAGAGTAGCACAGCTCAAGGGCAGATGTCTTCACTGTGTCTGGTTGTGATCCCCAGGTTGTGCCAGTCAGCTTTTGTACAATATTATTTCTAGCACCCACTTTTTGCTTGATGGTCAAGCAGTACTTGTTATAATCAGCATGGTCTGGAATGACTCCCTGGTATTTTTGTATGCTGCAATACTCCAGAGGGATTCCTTCCCAGGAGATCCTTAGAGTTCGAGATGCTTGTCTGTTCTTAAGCTGAAAAGCACACGTCTCCATTTTAGATTAATTAGGAATCAGCTGTTTTTCCTCTGTAATCGGCAGTAAGAGCACCTAAAGCTTCAGAGAGCTTCTGTTCAACCATTTCAAAGCTCCCTGGAAACAGCTTCCTAAGATTGACAGATACTCGCGGGAACACCTCAGCAAGCAAGAGTCCAAAAGTGGCAGGCTAAAACCCAGAACCTCAATCAGTGACTGAGGCCGGATGAGAAACTCCGCCTTGGGCACACAGAAGATTGGGCCACCTGGAAGGTGCTGAGCTGCAGAGCCAACCTTAAGAAATGGGGCCACAAAGTGGACTCCACGACATGTGTGTGTGGAGAAGAGCAAACCGCAGACCACCTACTACAATGCAATCTGAGCCCTGCGACATGCACAATGGAGGACCTTCTCACAGCGACACCAGAGGCACCCCAAGTGGCCAGTTTCTTGTCAAATGATATTTAGCATAATCCCAATTTTTAAAGCTTTGTTTGCTTTTTTACATTTTAACTGTTCCCTCAATTCACTTCTGACACGATAAATAAATAAATACCAATTACAAATGCGGGAAACTTAACTTGTACTTTCAGGACTGTGATCAGGAAAGCTAATGCTCTTAAGCCAAAACCTTTTCCTAGTGCCGGTATTTTTGAACAAAAGAAATAGAATCCTAGAGTTGGAAAAGACCCTTGTGGGCCATCCAGTCCAACCCCATTCTGCCAAGAAGCAGGAAAATCGCATTCAAAGCCACCGTGACAGATGGCCATCCAGCCTCTGTTTAAAAGCCTCCACCACACTCTGGGGCAGAGAGTTCCACTGCTGAACAGTTCTCACAGGAAGTTCTTTGTAATGTTCAGGTGGAATCTCCTTTCTTTCCTGTAGTTGAAGCCATTGCTCCATTGAGTCCTAGTCTCCAGCGCAGCAGAAAACAAGCTTGCTCCCTGTGACTTCCCCTCACATCTTGATCCCTGGTCCTCATCATGTCTCCTCTCAGCCTTCTCTTCTCTAGGTTAAACATGCCCAGCTCTTTAAACCGCTCCTCATGTGGCTTGTTCTCCAAACCCTTCATCCTTTTGAGTCGCCCTCCTCTGGACACATTCCAGCTTGTTAACATCTCCCTTCAGTTGCAGTGCCCAGAATTGGACACAGTGTGATTCCAAGGAAAGTGGTCAGACCAAGGCAGAATAGAGGAGTAGCCCGACTTCCCTGGATCTAGGCATTATACTCCTATTTATGTTAGGTTTCCCTTCAGTTAGGATAATGGAAGTGTTAACAGGTGACAATAAGTAGGTGAAAGTGCTTAGCTCTGACTCTCTCATCTACTCGGAAAAAAAGAATTGCACAATCCTTCAGAGGAGAGCTTGGACGTTTGCGAGGTTGACAAACTTCCCCTCCAGTAGAGAGGGCTGAAAATCAATTTTGATGACTGTGTACTTCCATAATTCAACCCTGGAAATTATTAAGTCAAAGAAGTCAGGTTTCTATGGATACAAGTATTCCTGTGCAGTTTTGTTGACGCCGGCATCTGTGCTCAGATCACTTCTTGGGGTCGTTCTATAAGTTTACCATTGACAGGAAATTCAGGCCAAGTTGTATTTTTTCACCATGTCCTTTGAAATATGTATGCGGAACATAAAATACATTGAGCAGGATTAGGGTGAAAATCAGGAGGTGGAACAATAGCAATGGGCACCCCGTTATTTGCAGAAAAGAGCAAAGACTTGGACCAACTACTGAGGAAAATGAAGGAACAAAGTGAAAGAACAGAGCTGCAGCTGAATTACAAGAAGGAAAATAATGTCCAACTTTGAGATACATAAAGCAGATAATGAAGACTGAACTCATGAAAGCTCTGCTGTTTCTTGGCTCAGCCACCTAACGAAATAATGACTAGCTAAGAAATCTGAAGAAGACTTTTAAGACTTGGAAAGGCAGCTACAAAGGAACTGGATAATGTTTTCAAGTGTAAAGAACTATATCGCCAGGTCACAATATTTCTGGTTTCTCTGTTACAGATAGGAAGAATCATAGAATCCTAGAGTTGGAAGAGACCTCATGGGCCATCCAGTCCAACCCCATTCTGCCAAGAAGCAGGAATATTGCATTCAAATCACCCCTGACAGATGGCCATCCAGCCTCTGTTTAAAAGCTTCCAAAGAAGGAGCCTCCACCACACTCAGGGGAAGAGAGTTCCACTGCTGAACGGCTCTCACAGTCAGGAAGTTCTTAGATTCAGAACCATAGAGTTGGAAGAGGCATCCAGTCCAACCCCATTCAACCAAGAAGCAGGAATGTTGCGTTCAAAGCACCCCAAAAAGATGGCCATCCAGCCTCTGTTTAAAAGCCTCCAAAGAAGGAGCCTCCACCACACTTCGGGGCAGAGGGTTCCACTGCTGAACGGCTCTCACAATCAGGAAGTTCTTAGAATCATAGAGTTGGAAGAGACCTCCTGGGCCATCCAGTCCAACCCCATTCTGCCAAGAAGCAGGAATATTGCATTCAAATCACCCCTGATAGATGGCCATCCAGCCTCTGTTTAAAAGCTTCCAAAGAAGGAGCCTCCACCACACTCAGGGGCAGAGAGTTCCACTGCTGAACGGCTCTCACAGTCAGGAAGTTCAGATGGAATCTCCTTTCTTGTAGTTTGAAGCCATTGTTGCTTGTCCTAATCTCCAAGGAAGCAGTAAACAAGCTTGCTCCCTCCTCCCTGTGGCTTCCTCTCACATATTTATACAAGGCGATCATATCTCCTCTCATCCTTCTCCAGGCTAAACATGCCCAGCTCCTTAAGCCGCCCCTCATAGGGCTTGTTCTTCCTCATGTTCAGATGTAATCTCCTTCCTTGTAGTTTGAAGCCATTGTTCCGGGTCCTAGTCTCCAGGGCAGCAGAAAACAAGCTTGCTCCCTCCTCCCTGTGGCTTCCTCTCACATATTTATACATGGCCCTCATCATGTCTCCTCTCAGCTTTCTCTTCTTCAGGTTAAACATGCCCAGCTCTTTAAGCCGCTCCTCATAGGGCTTGTTCTCCAGACCCTTGATCATTTTAGTCGCCCTCCTCTGGACACATTCCAGCTTGTCAATATCTCTCTTGAATTGTGGTGCCCAGAATTGGACACAATATTCCAGGTGTGGTCTAACCAAGGCGGAATAGAGCATGGGGAGCATGACTTCCCTAGATCTAGACACTATGCTCCCCAGAAGATCACAGGGGGCCTTTTCAAAGGAAGGAATTCCTAAAATCCCAATACGCCCCATCCACGGCGTTCCCTGCATCAACCCAGCTTGTGACTCCATCAAAAAAGAGATCAGATGAGTCTGTCATGACTTGTATTTGCTAATCCATGTAAGCCTAAACATTTGGAAGACCGTCCTGATGGGAAGAAGAGCTGATTGACAGTTGAATATGCTGCTGACTTGAGAGTCAATGGAAGTGTCCTCGAGAGGTGTTGAAACAGAGGCTGGATGCTTGCTTTGATTGCCCTAATAAAACAGCACTAGGGGAAATCTAGTGTGCCAAGACCTGGCCTCAAAGCTCCCTTCTCTTAAGAGAGAAAAACAAGATTGTGGGGATTGCTTGGGTCCAAGGGGCATATCTTATCCTGCTGTGAGCCTTCATGTCATTTAGGATTTATGGCATCCCTATCATGAGGTTTTATGAGGCCGAGAGAGTGACTTTCCCCACCAGAAGGGACCCGGGCCCTTTCCACACAGCCATACACACCCAGAATATCAAGGCAGAAAATCCTACAATATCTGAATTGTGTAATCTGGTTTATTTTTATTTACAGTATTTATATTCCGCCCTTCTCACCCCGCAGGGGACTCGGGGCAGATCACAATGCACATAAACATGGCAAACAGTCAATGCCATTTAGACACACAACATATATAGATTGGCACACGATTAATCTAGGAACTTTCAAGGAAAGGATGGAGGGAAGGGAAGGAGGAAGGAAGGAAAAAGAAGGAAGGAGAGACAAAAAGGGAAGGAAGGAAGGGGTGAAGAAAAGAAGGAAGGAGAGACTAAAGGGTGGAAGGGAATGGAGGGAGGGAGAAAGGGAGGAAAGACAAAAGGGAGGGAAGGAAGGATGAAAGGGTGGAAGGAAATGGAGGGAGGGAAGAAAGGGAGGAAAGAGAAGGAAAGAAAAGGGATAGAAGGAAGGGAAGTAGGAAGGAAAGAAGGACAGGAGGGAAGAAGGAAGAAGGAAGAAAGAAAGAAAGAAAAAAAAAAGAGAAGGAAAGAGAAAAGGGGGAAGGAAGAGGGAGGGAGAAGGAAGGGAGGGGTGGGAAGGAAAGACAAAAGGGAAGGAGGAAGGAAAGAAAGAAGGAA